ATATATATAATGAAGTTCAGCTTCTAGGCCTAAATGATTGTGTGTTTTTGGGGGTAAATTGCCAAATTTCTGTGAATCTCATAGGCTCATCATCAGGAATAGCAATTACTACGTCACAGCATGGTAAGAAGGTCAAGGTGGATAATATATGTGAAGCATTTTGTTATGGTGCCTAGGGCTTAACAGGGTATTCAATAAACTATTGTTAGCATTTTTGCTGCTACTAATGTTACTATTAGCAAACTGAGACAGGTAGAATTTTTGTTGCCGTTGTTGAACATTTATATAATCAGTGAGGATAATTCTTATTAATATATTTGCATGTAAAAATATATCTCTCTACATACACTTATGATCACCAAGTAACATTTATAACATTCTTGACTGCCTCAGTCCATAAGCATCTGAAGAAAGGGTAAGATCTTGCTTTACAAATAAGAGCCAAGTGTGATGGCACAGGCCTATAATCCCAGCCATCTGGGAAACAAAGATAGGAGGATCACAAGTTCAAGGCCAGTTTGGGCAACTTAGCAAGACCTTGTCTCCAACAGAAAAGCCATTGAGGATGTAGCTCAGTGGTAGAGCACTTGACTCTCTATATATGGCCCTGGGTTCGATCCCCGGTAAGTAGAAGTAAATAAAACATCTTGCTATGAAATGGGATGGTATCCAACAGGGACATTTCTGTGATCTCAAAAATGCCAGAGATGCTGAGGGACAGCATAGCAAGCACTTTTGCCTTCATGCTGGTTGACATAATCTCAGTCCCTTTGACACTTTTCTCAGAAAAGAGACGAGAGATGGAAGTCATTTTTTTTTTCCAGGTAGGAAAGCAGTGCTTTAGCGGAGTCTGAACTCTGGTCCAGTAACTTCTTTCTTATTTATTTAGAATTTCCTTTCAGGACAACTAAGAACAGAGGCTACCATTAGGCAGGAGGATCACCGCCTCTCTCTCCCGCGGAGATGGTCTCTCTGGCGCTGGAAATGTATCCAGTGTTTTGACCGAGGTTCAGCAGCCATGGCGGCCAGCAGTCTTGGGAAAGCAGCCACTTTAGACGAACTGCTGAGCACTTGCATCGAGATGTTTGGTATGAGTCTTTTTCTCTTGTCATCGCTTTTGTAAATGTTGATTCTATCATTCCCCTCACATGGGATACAGGTTGCTGGTGGTGCAGAAGTCAGGGTCTGTGCTGTGATATTTAAGGCTCTTTGGAACCAACCCAGCCTGTCTCTCTAGTTTCACTACCCTCTCCATTTCTTTCTTTTGACTGCTGGCAGGTTGGACTCCGGCCAGATTTTCTACTCAATGTTTCTGCAACACTCCCTGCTCCCCTCTCTTTCCATGCCTTTATTACAACCCTGCCTTTGAAATTCTGCTTTCAGGCTCATCTCATTTGTCATCTCAGATGTTCCTAATGCCATTCTTACCCACCCCTGTCAGAAATGCTGCTGGATTCTTCCACCTCTCTCACATCCCAGTGTAACTTTCTTAAGGTGCATAGTCTGTACTGCTGTGATTGTTGCTGGGTCTTTTGGCATACACCATGTGGCTAGCAAAAGCTACTGAATTCCATACTACATACACTGTGTAAGTCTTACTAAATGATACTTTACAGGTCTCTGCTTTGCATGTTGTTTATGGCTTATGCATCAACTCCCGCATTGGATTATTCTTGCACAATAGAGTCATAGAGACTTATTTGTTTAATTGATTACCACAAGAATCGGAGCAGAGTGGGGGGTTTTTTTTCAGACAAAATACAGGATGATCAGTTAAGTTTTTGTATTTGGTAAACAACGTTTTTTGTGTATATCCTAAATAACACCTGGGTCATAATGAAATCATTAATCACTTTTTACCTTAAGTTAAATTTACCTGGGTGTCCTGTACTTTTCTTGTTAAATCTCTCAGCTGTAAGCCAGGAGCAGGGTGAGACTCACCCCGTTTAACTTGCAAGGAAATATCGGAAGAAGTAGATAGCAAATGATAATCAGGAGGTTTATGAAGAAGTTTGGACATTGTTATTTTTCTAGTGATGTTAGAAGAAGAGAAAACTAGTACCACTATCTCCTCACTCCTTATTCTACTTTTAACAGATGACAATGGAGAGCTGAATAATAGCTGTTTGCCACGAATTGTTCTACTGATGCACCGATGGTATTTATCTTCCACTGAATTGGCAGAAAAACTCCTCTGCATATATCTTTTCAACTACTGTGTAATTTTTACCATCACAAATCAAGTTCTGTATTTAGATATCAAGTCTACCCAAAGCTAGTAAATTAAGATGAATGAACAGCCTTCAGTCCGTTATCCAGCTGTTTTGAGGTTATACAGTTGTCCAGAAGAAACGTCTGGGTAATGGGCTAAATATCTGACTGTCCACCAGACATCTTGGCTCTACTTGAAAATAATCACTGAGATGTGACATGAAACAGAAGCTGTAACTGAGTGTCACTAACTCGTCTTAAACATTTCTACTATTATGACAGTGAAAGAATGTTTAGCACTGATTCAAGGCCTGATTTATTCCCTCTGTGATGACAAAATCCTGGGCAGAGAAGACACAGCTGAGACATATGGAGATGCCAGCCAGAATAATTTGCTCTGCCTTAGGCACAAGCATCCACTTAGATTTTACATTTTCCCTTGCTGTCAAGATCCAAAGAACATTCTAGTGGATTTGTTATAATTTGTTGTTTGGTACTGAAATATAAACAAAACACAAAGATCCACACAGGGCTGGGATGTAGGTTTGGCAGTAGAGTACTGGCTTAGCATCAGCAAGGCCCTGGGTTTGATCCCTAGCATTGAAAAAATAATCCACATAGCTGGAAACCCCATTCTGTAATGAGAGCGTTCAGGAATCCACCACCTTTGTACATACTGCAGCCTCGAAAAGTTTTTGAAAGCGATATAGTTGGCAATGCAGTCTCACATTTGTAAGGAGGATTTACTCCCTGAAATTTCATGCCTCCCGTGTAATGTTGGTTCCTGTGGTCTCTGCCTTCTTCAAGCCCAGAGGGCCCCACAGATGCCTGAGAAGCCCCTGAGGAGTAATGAGTATTATTAGGACCTGCCAGGGTTTCCAGGGCCAAGCAGAACTCCCCTCATTAAGTCCAAGCTTCTCCACTTCCTCCCCTTCCTCCACCCACTCCCAACCTCAGAGCAGAGGGAGATGTTAGAGACGGTAAAGATGTATTCAGCTGAAACCGAAATCCTTGGAAATGAGCAAGGTCCTAGTCCCCAAGGACCCAAGGATTCCTAGCTTACTTGGTATCCACTGTGATGGCATGTAGTAGGAGCTCAATTTTGTTTACCAAAAAAAATCAATAAATAGACTTATAAATGACATAAACCACATAGTAAAATACCTAAAAGTAGTATTTTTCAGATAATGAAAAAGTTAGAATACTTAATAAGGTGCCAAATCCTTATTTTAAAATCTTCTAGGCTAAAACAGAGCTTTTATGTGCTATCAATTTTAATTATTTATACTTGGTATAATATTTGTAATTATAGCTGGCAGTTATTGGTTGGTAAGTGCTCAGGAAGGTAAAAGAAACTTGGTAAGTGGCTCCTCTTTCAGATAAAAAATATATTCCAGAACATTAACAAGTCGTACTAGAGTGTTTCAGATTTTAGACTTTTAAAAAAAAATTTAGAATTCACAAGGCATGGTAATGCACACCTATAATTCTAGCACTCTGGAGGCTAAGGGAGGGGGATCACTGTGAGTTTGAGGCCAGTCTGGGTTACACAGTGAGTTCAAGGCCAGTCTGAACTAGTGAGATGACCCTGTCTCAAAAAACACGCAGGGCTGGGGATTTAGCTCAGTGATTCTGCCTCCTGCTTCCCAAGCCGAAGGTCCTGAGTTCTATACCTGGTACCAAACAAACAAACAAACAAAAACCATTTAGAATATTTGCATATATCTATTGAGAAATATCAAGGATGGGACCCAAGACTAAACAAAAAAAAATTCTTGTATGTTCATATACAACTTGCAAGCATAGTCTGAAGACAATTTCTATGACATTTTTAGTGCACATGTATTTTAAGTGTGATCTGTCACATATGGTCAGGAGTTGAATTTTCTACCTGTGGCTTTGCCATTGCTCAAAAAGTTTTGGAATTTAGCTTATTTGGAATTTTGGATTTTAGGATGAGAGATGCTCACCCTATAACCCAAATGTCCCTGGTATGGCCCTCTTGCTAGGAAGTTGTGAGTTGAAGAAACAGCTGTGTGTGTGTGTGTGGAGAGGCAACAAGGGACAGCACTTTTTCTTTAACTAGAGTACGTACCAAAATGCCAGTGGAGAAAGCTGTGATGAGTTTCGATTAAAGATCTGCTATTTCATAAGGTAAATATATTTAGAATTTTAATTTCTTTATGGTTTCTGTTTTTTTTTTTTTTTTAACAATTTCCTTTGTCTCCGAGCGGTAGGCTTATTTTGACAATAGAATCTACTCACCCCACCCCCTTTTATTGTCTATTAAAATTGGCCCTCCTTTCTTCCTGGGGGTGGTGGGGTAGAATTTGCCGTGTGGACTACAGATTAAGTAGTGGTGAATACAATTAGAAAGTGGGACCAGATTTTATACAGGGAGAGTTCAATTTTTAAAACCCCCTTCATCATACACGTTCTCCCTTACACGCTGTGAATTGAGGGAACAGTTTCTTCCCGAGTGTTATTCTATAGAGAGTCAGAAAGGGGCTCGGGGCTAGAGCGCTAAATCTTGGTTCTTGACTGAAGGAGAGCAGAGGGAGAGTCTGGGTGATGGTTGGGGTTAGGAGATGGCTAATGAGATTCAGTGTGAAATGTGGTCTGCACGGTAGTTTCCAGGGAAGCCCATCGTGGACTCCTCCAGCTGTCAGATGTGCCATATTCCTTTCAGGTACTGGATTCTGAAGTTTCCTGCCGAGTTTAATTTGGATCTTGGTTTGATTCGTATGACTGAGGAATTCCGGGAAGTAGCTAGTCAACTGGGATATGAAAAACACGTCAGCCTCATCGACATATCCAGCATGTAAGATGGTGCAAGCATCTTTCAAACTTGATGGATCTACAGCTCTGGGACAGGACTAGTGATGACCCCATTCATTCTGAGTCCGTATGGGTCCAGAGCTATGGTTTGGTTCTTTGAGAACATCCTTGCTGCAGTGCATACAGACATACTGGATACGACTCCTCTCTCCAAGCTGCAGTTTATTTGTAAAATGGGAAAGTGATTTTCTCGTGGAATTATGACAAGCATCCAAAAAGCACATAAGACCGCATGTGGAAGCATTTGGCACATAATAGATAGATTCTCAGTACTTAGTTACTGAATCGGAATCTAGATAATGTTTCCTATGCCTTGGCTGCCCAATGTGTGGTCTTCACATCAGCAACATTGGCATCTCTGGTGTGTTCATTAGAAATGCAAAATCTTGGGCCCCACCTGCTGAACTAGAATCTGTACTTTTTTTAAAAATTTTTCCTGGCCCTGGGAATTAAATCCAGGACCTTCCCACTGAGCTACATCCGCAGGTTTTTGTTTTGTTTTGTTTTTTGAGACAGGGTCTAAATTGCCCATTTACAATCCTCTTGCCTCAGCCTCCTAGGATGCTGGGATTACAGGCATGCATCACCATACCTGGCTGGAACCTGCATGTTAATAAAGATCCCCAGATGATTTATACACTTGTTCAAATTTGAGAAGCCTTGTACCATGGTACTTCTAAGGTTGGCCTCAAGTCATAAAAAAGTTGAGCAAGTGGTGCCATGAACTGGTTTGTTTGGTTATAAGAGCACAGTGTCAAGCTTATTTCATATGGACTGAGTAACTTAACATTGAGAAAACTAACGATGCTGGGTATGGCTCTTGTGACTTAGGCATTCCTACCATAGCCTCTTTACCTGAAATAATTCTTCAAGAGTGATCAACACTGACTGATCAAGGAATCACCAGGGATGTTTGTTTGAAATATGTTTCACTCAGGCTTGTTCCTACTACATCAGAATCTCTGGCAGTGAGGTCCAGGCCTCTGTCTTTGTAAACATTTTTTTCCCAGACAATTTATATTATGCCACAGAGTGAGAACCACAGCTTTTGGTGGTTTCCAGGCACCTTAAATCACCATCTGTGTGCTGCTAAACTTCCAAATTTATATAGCTATCCTTTGTGATCCAGATCTTGCTTGGCCATAAGGAAAAGCAAGCAAGAGACTCTGAATGAGTTAGAACAAACCTACTCTGTCTGGAAAAACAACTCAGAGTTTTTGTTCTGTTGGCAGTGGGTCTGTGGTTTTTCTCTTCATACATGAAGGGCAGGGCGTGTATTTTGAATAAATTCCTGAAAGAAGGCCAAGCACTGCAGGGTCAGTAGGTTAATAACCTCCAGCGAGAGCAGTGGGTTTCAGCACACTGACCAGGCTCACTCTTCTTTTCTAGTCCTTCCTATGACTGGATGAGAAGAGTCACACAGAGGAAAAAAGTATCCAAGAAGGGCAAGGCCTGTCTGCTGTTTGACCATCTGGAGCCCATTGAATTGGCAGAGCACCTCACTTTTCTGGAGCATAAATCTTTTAGAAGGATCTCAGTAAGGAACCTGACATTCATTCTCCCAAGGATAACAACCACCCTGCCAACTTTCCCAAGAGCCACATTTTCAGGCTCTGAAGTGTTGGCAGCCCCTGCCACTGGGCTCTGCTGGAAAAAGTGCCCTTAATTCACAGGAACAATCCCTTTTAACCAAAGATAAACATTATCCTGCCTTTATTTTATTTTATGACTCCAGAGCTACATTTCTGTCGCTATTTTCAATGTCGTCTTTTATAGGATTAAAGCACAATTTTTCTAACTACTCAGGGGAGATTTAACCATTGAGTGGCTTGTGCCATTGACTTCTCCCAAGTTTTGCTGGCCCTTTATTTGGGGGAGGGAAACATTTAGGTTGAGATTTGTATGAATGCCTAGTTACGGGCATAGGTAGAAAATAGAAATTCTGTGTTTTAAGGAGAATCTCAGCGTCAGACTGTCTTTTGCAGTGGTGGAGATCTTAAACGAAATTTTACTCCTACTCATCTTGACAGGGCTTTGTCCCTTCTCTGCATCCCCTCTCTTCCTTGACTGTGTGTGGTCTCTTCTTTTCTGCCTTCTTTTTGTTGTCTGCTCATTCTGATAATCTTTCCATGCTGGGTGATAATCAGCTCTCAGGTTTGCTTCCTCTCATCAAGCTCTGGGGAAGTCACTTCTCTTCCTTGTCCAAGGTACCAGAAACGGAATGGCATTTATTCCTTGCAAAGAACACCAACTTGATGAGAAGAAGCCTGGCTCTCTAAGACAGGTCTTTCACTGAGTAACTCTGCTGGGACAGGACTTTAATGATTCCCCAAAGCAGGGCATGGGAGAAAACCCCACATGATAGAAGGTTCATACATATTTCATGACTCCCTTGCCAAACTTTTTGAGAATGTGTACATTCTGATACTTTTACCTCTTTGTTTCCCCTTGAAACAACTTTATAATACACTTCTGACTTGAAGTTGTTATATTTATATTCACTTATTCACTTCCTGTTCTTCAGTGTATTCCACTGTATCTTAAACTCTTTCGATCATTGGAATCACTGGTAGTATGTTAAAAATGAAGATTCGGGCCAGGGATTTAGCTCAGTGGTTCCGCCGCCTGCCTTGCAAGTGCAAGGTCTCAAGTTCGATCCCCGGTACAAAAAAAAAAGATTCTTACCGATACTAATCCCTTATGTCTTGGGTGTTCCTCAGAGTCAGCACTTTGACAAATGACCGAAGTGAATCTTATGATTCAGTACTTTTGGGATGCTCTGAAATACGACCTTTGGTCTTACCCTTTCCTTCCTCCCTCCAACACTGTGATAATGTGTGTTTGTGTGTGGCGGGGAGTGGGGTTGGAGATGCAGCAAAATAGCCTGTGAAAGGTACCTCTCCAGTCAACTTGTAGGATATCATCATAAATGGAAAGAAATAAATTGTTATGTTGTTATGAAACACTGTCTCTTCTCTGCAGCATTCTAATTTCTGATTTTGCAAAAGCTCCACTATAATTCAGAATCTCTGAATCTTCCCTTACCAGTTCACTGATTATCAAAGCTACGTCATCCATGGCTGCTTGGAGAATAACCCAACCTTGGAGAGATCTATAGCCTTATTTAATGGAATCTCTAAGTGGGTCCAGTTGATGGTCCTTAGCAAACCAACCCCCCAGCAAAGGGCAGAAGTCATCACAAAGTTTATCAATGTCGCCAAGGTATGTCTTGTAATCAGACTGGGGTTCTTTGATTCTGGATGTTTTTTCTATCTAATGAGAAAAGTCTTTGTGGAAATTTGGTGTTCACAATACAAGGACAATGAACAATGAAACTACTCACAAGCAAATCACACTTTTCTTATGTAAGAAGATTCCTTTTGAAAAGCATTGTGTAGCATTTAATGTAGATGTTTTTCTGTCAAATAATTGGTATGTTTTTCTAAATGATTCTATTTGTACTTCATTTTAAATCAGTATGCTTTTTACTGTCTCTGTTATTTCGATTGTGCCGGCATTCACCTGTGCCTCAGAAAGTTCGGAATAATTTAAAAATCCCTAAAAATTATGAACATTAACATTTTTGTTGCAGAAGCTCCTTCAGCTCAAAAACTTTAACACCTTGATGGCAGTGGTGGGAGGCCTGAGTCATAGTTCCATTTCACGCCTCAAAGAGACCCATTCCCATCTTTCTTCGGAGGTTACAAAGGTACAATGGCTTTTGATCTTAATTGCAAGTAAGCATTTGCAAATTGTCCAAGTATAGTACACCTCTAACAAATACCACTCCGAATGGGAGCGTCTTCCTCTTAAACCACTGGTAGGTTGCCCGTGGGGAGCTGAATAGAAAGGGAATAGCCACAGGAGCTGAGTCCAGTGGAAAAGCAGGTCAGAGGTGGTGCGAAGTGTTCCACTGGGAATGTGTTCACATGTGATTCACATGCTACAGTTAACAAATATTTGTCCGGTGCTTACTCTGTGGTACTAGGATACACAAGAGCCCAGATGAATAAGACAGAAATCACTCTTACTCTACCTTCCTGGAAATAGTCATTGAATGTCCACTCTACACTGTGCTTGCTACAGCAGAAGGTACAAAGGAAGGGGAAGACATGAGTCTTGTATAGTAATACTCAGAGTCAAAAATACATACAGTTTTCTGCCATATTTTTTTCTAGACTTCATTTGTAACTTTTCCCCTTATTGAGCAAAAAAGAAGCATTTTATCCTTAAGAGAGAATCCCTTGTAAGAATGTGCTTTGCTGTATAAATAAGGACATGTTCAATTTTAAATTAAAAAAGAAAAAAAACTTAAATTAACTGCATAATAAGGAAATATATTTTCTAACCTATCTGGAAATTCAGAGGCAGAGCAGACTTTAGGCATGGTCTAATCAGAGGTCTATTTCCGTTCCTCTGCCTTCTCGGGATTTTATGTGGTTTGGTTTGGTTTTGGGTTTGTTTGCTTGCTTCATTAGACTGATTTCCCTCCTGATTGGGCTGTTTGTAGCAATGACAAACTTACACCCCCTTGCTCATGAAAGCGGGAGACAGGGAAGATCTCTCCCTTCAACCTTGACCTCACGGGATTAAAGACCTTCTTTTTAGAAAGACTGGGCCATCTCAAGTCTTATGCCCCCTATGGACCAATGACAGTTCCCAGAGAAGTACAGTGTACTGATTGGTTTGATCTTACATTGCTGAACCAGTCACAAACCAGAGGGATGGAACTTCTATAATAGCAAATCAGATTCTATTCTTAGTCATGTTTGGGGAAGGAGAAGACTGATCAAAATTAGGCTCTGTTTGCTGTTAAACAACCACCAATGACTTTTCCATATAAGAAGGAGGAAGTAAACCACAGAAATAGTATTGTTTGACCTCAATTTTGCACTCATTCCAAGTACAATGGGACTCATTATGTGTTTTATTTTCTTTTAACTTTATACTAAATTCCAACTAAAAGGCAAAATAAATTATTTAAATATTATAAAGACTAAGACTCTGACAGGGACTCAGAAGTTTGGAATTATCAGTGTGTCTTTGAAATTTATTTATTTGAACTCATTTTTCTTATAGAAAAGGAAATTGAGATCCAAAATCTGAATTGATTTGCTGAATTTCACCCTTCTAGTTAGTGCAGAGTCCAAAAACCACAGCTGTCTCACATCTTAGTGCAACTTCTCCTACTCTATAATGTCACAGTGCCCCCATTAATATCTGGAATGGAATTTTCTTGGAACAGCTAGGTATTTTAATATGTTGCATGCTTAAATTTGTGGACTGTAATATTTTCATGAATTGCAAACTATGAAGTGTACATGATGTCATCTAGCATCCCAGCATCCCTAGCGGTAGGCAGTGGTATGAGCTATTTCTGATTTGTAGGAGAAAGGGACGGGCTGTCCATCTCCTAGCCTGACCTAGTACATTTTTCTTTCTTTCTCTTGGTTAGTATATCAACGTTGGTGCGATTGGTACTTCTCTAAGTGGCCAAGGAATTTCCTAGCCACACATTGCAGGCCTTAGGGGTGGGCAGAAGAGAAGACTGTTTAAAAATTCTCCTTTTCCATCCATTCTCAGAACTGGAATGAAATGACAGAGTTGGTCTCCTCCAATGGCAATTATTGCAGTTACCGCAAGGCCTTCGCCGACTGTGATGGTTTCAAAATCCCCATCCTTGGAGTACACTTGAAAGACTTGATTGCGGTCCATGTCATTTTCCCAGACTGGATGGAGGAGAACAAAGTGAACATTGTGAAAATGCACCAGCTCTCCGTTACCCTGAGTGAACTGGTCTCCCTGCAGAGTGCCTCTCACCACTTAGAGCCCAACATGGATTTGATCAACCTACTCACCGTGAGTTCCAGGGGGCTCAACCCTTCTGCACCTCATGTACTAGGAAGCATGGGACGATGTATGCCAGTCATTCACTATGGGGGAAAATTGTTTTTTGGGTCAGTAGATGAGAAGAAATCTCAAAAGATGAGGAAAAAGGAACCCCACACCTGTAACCAACATGGCGTGAGACTGTCCTCTTGGGGCGAATCAGTTCCCTTTTGTGTGGAGAGGCCCAGCCTCTGCCAATGCACTCCCCCTTTTGAAGTTCTCAGAGAGGCTCTTCCACGGGCATCCTGAGCCAGCTGATCACTTCCCTCTGTGTGTGCTCCGAACCTCTGCTCTCTTTAGCCTTGCTGCCCTGCTTTAATCAAAACCCACAGCAATGCACAGCTCTCCTCTGTCCCCACCATTGACCTCCCCAAGGCTCCGGGGTGTAGTTCCCAGCCTGGCACTGGAGGACCTCCGGCATTGCATCTCCAGCCTTCCGTGCAGCCTTCTTTGTCCCCACTCTCCCCCACATCACACCAGCCTTTGAGAAATGTTGGGCTTCGTGTACTTCTATCACCAAGCACTGCCTTCCCCTTCCCGGGCTTTGCACCTTCTTATAAAATCCTCTCCCTCTCCGTCCACATGGCTGGTTCCGATTCAGAGGTCTCCCTGCTAGAGCATTCTCTCTGGGACCTCCAAAGAAGTGATGTGTTGGCCTTGGACTTTGACTATAGAAGGTGGCTCTTTGTGTTGTACTTTTTCTGTTCACATGTCTGATACCTCACATCCCTAGCACTGTCCATAGTGCCTGGTGCATTAGAAACTCAATAAAGTGAATGCTACATTTGGGAGTGAGGCCCAACAGATGAAAGAACTTGATCTGCCATTTATTGGCACTTCTGGCACAGTGCTTTAGCTGGTCTTCAGGTCCTCAAACTTTTACAAATAGCAGGTACATGAAGGAGGACATTTCCACTGGCTCGTTCTTTGTGGGGTAAGAGAAGCCCCAACCACACCCTCTCACTCTTGCTTAAGCAAGGTTTTACAGTACTGGTTTTTAGGTCTACAGCATTGTCATCTGAAACTTGACTGTGACATCGAACTGATTATTGTCCTCTCTGGCTGTAGAAAATAACCTCCCTTAAGCTCTGACAGCTAAGTCTGAGTTGGAATAGGAGCCTGGTTCTGGCAATTCCCCCGTGGAATTGTTTACCACAGAACAGATGCTTGCTGTAGGTAACAGTACACCACTCACTGTCTTAAGGCAGAAGTGTTGAACACACACACAAACACACACACACACACACACACATGCAGGCCCAGACCTTTTGGGGCTGAGTTTATGTAACAAATAGAAAACACATAGGCATTCTCTAACTGGGGGGCGGGGACTAACCCACAACACCCCAAGCACCTGCATTTATTAATCATTTGCCATGTAAATCTGTTTCCATGAACAAGAGACCAGAGTGGCGGTCCCAGTCAGACTCCAAACCACAGGCACAGGTGCCATCTGTAGACCAGTCCTAAGGTGGCCAGGGTTTCACACGTCTGTGTCAGGGTTGGATCCCTGATGTCAAGCACAACTTCAGGGAGCAGGTGCCTACCTTTGGGCAACGTCTCATCCGAATGAAAGACTATAATGGAGTAGGAAAGTTAATTTTGAGTTATAAATGCATCAAGTAACATCATCAAAGAGGTCAGATATTTAGAGAGGTATTGAGAATTTTGAATGAAATTTTAAGGGCATAAATGGAAAACCTAAAGTCCAGCAATAAAAATTCAGACACAATTACTTTTTCTTTTTCAGACAAGTTCTTGCTACATAGTCTAGGCTGGCCTTGAACTTAATATGTAGCACAAGCTGTCCTCAACCTCAGTCCTTCTGCCTCAGCCTCCCAAGTGCTAGGACTACAGACATGTGCCACCATGCCCAGACCTAATTTCTTTCTTTCTTTCTTTTTTTTTTTTGGTACCGGGGGTCAAACTTGGGTCCTTGTGTTTGCAAGGCAGGCGGTGGAACCACTGAGCTAAATCCCCGGCCCCTGGCCCTAATTTCATTTGCTGGGAAGAAAAGCAAAGAAGAAAAGGATGCCAGAATCCCCCACTCCTTTTCTCAGTCTCCTAGACATACTGAAAATTTAGAAGCCACCAAGCACGATTTTTATTTTTAAAAAGATTTATATCAGTACATGTTTGTGAAACTTAGTGATTACATTCAGCTGGGGGATTTGATACACATACGTGTTGCATCTGGATCATTTCTCTTCTTGGTCCCCCTGCCCTCTTTCTGTCTCCTTCCCCAGATCCTCTTTCCATCTCTACAGTCTACTTCCCTGTTTTTTAACATGGCTCATTTATTTTTTCTTTCAATTATTTATATTTTGAGTCTCTCACATTAGAGCAAGTATGTAACATTTAACCTTTTGTGGCTGACATTTCACTTGGTGTCATGGTCTTAAGATCAATCGATTTTCCTACAGCTTTATCCTTCTTTATGGGTGAGTAGTATTCCATTGTGTATAACATCATATTTTCTTCATCCAGGCGTCTGTGGATGGAGGTGTAGGCCACTTGCACAATTTAACTATTATGAGTTTCACTGCTATAAACATGGGTGTGCATGTATATTGAGCTCTTTCATGAAGATACTTAGGAGAAGAATTCTATTTTTGTTTTTTGAGGAATCCCCATACTGATTTCCATACTGAGTGTAGTACTTTACACTCTCACCAGCATTATAGAAGGGCCCCTTTCTCCCCACAGCCTCACCAGCATTTGCTGTGGAGGAGTTGGTTTGTTTGTTGTGGCTATGTAGTTCAGACTGGCCTTGAGTTCCTTGCAGCCCTCCTGCCTCAGCCTCCTAACTGCTGGGATTACAGCGCTTATTGTTTCTTGAGTCCTTGATAGTGGCCACTCTTACTGGAGAAAGATGGAACCTCTGTGTTGTTTCAATGTGCATTTCTGTAATGGCCAAGATGCTGAATAGTTTTTCATGTATTTCTTGGTCATTTGCATTTTCTTCTTCTGAGAAGTGTCTGTTCACTTCAGTTGACGAGTTTCTAATTGGGTCTTTTATTTTGAGGTGTCTAATCTTTTTGAGTTCTTTATATATTCCAGATATTGATTTGAAGTGTAGCCAGCAAAAAAATTTTTCCCATTATGTAGGTTATCTTTTCACTATGCTGATTTCCTTTACTGTGCAGAAGCTTTTAAATTTGATATAATCCTATTTGTAGGTTCTTCGTATAATTTCGTCCTACCTATGACAGTGTTGTGGACCAGGAATTTAGCTCAATGGTTCTGCCACCTGCCTCACAAACACAAGGTCCTGAGTTTGATCACCGGTACCAAAACAAAACAAAAACAAAAACTCCCCAAAAGCTAAATGGAAGGTCTTGCTTTCAGCCCTGCCTCTGCCTTGTGTCCATGCTCATTAGCCCTGGCTTTGGCTTATTCCTAAGGGCTCTGTGCTTGTTTGGGAGGTCTCCTCCAGTGCTAAACTGCCATGACTCTAGAAGTAAGGACAAGGAGTGACTTGTAGTCCTGACCCACCGACTCTTGAGGACAGCAGCATCCTGCACGTGAGTCACGGGGCATCAAAGCCAGTTATTCCTCAGAGCCTCTGGCCCCTCATGAAGGAGGAGGTCAGCATGCAGGAGATCCAGCCAGCCTTCCTGGCCACGGAGGGGCACACTCCTCACTGTGAGGACTGAGGAGATGTCCACCACCTGTTCCTCAGAGCCAGTATCCGTTTCATGATGCGCATGCGTATTCACATTAGAACCATGTGATGGATTGCAGTTGCCTAAATACCCATGAGCTTGTCTGTAAGCACAGGATAGAAAGTGTGATTCATTTTCCTCTAAGACTCCAAGTCAGATTTTTGCCTGAAGTGATTGTTTTCTTCTGAACATGGCCTGAGGCAGTAACCAGTATATGATCGACGGCCCCAAAGGCTAGAATATGAGAACTCTTTAGTTCAACAATCATTAAAGGCTACTCTGCTGTAGGCTGTCCAGCAAGGCTTGCATTTTCTTTAATAATTGATGCTGGGCATGCTGTAACCCCAGAAGTCTAGGAAGCTGAGGCAGGAGATTTGCAAATTTGAGCCCAGCCTGGACCACTTAGTGGTTTAATGAGTCCCTGTGGGGTGGGGGGGGG